GTCTTACAACATCTACTCCCCAACCTTCCTACTCTATCAACATTCTTTCTCCCTCTTATCTTCATCTCTCTTTCTATTCCCCTCCTCAAAACCTAGATCTAATCTAGGGATCAAAGTTACAATCATAGTCGTTCTTGAGATCGTCTCATCATCATCAGCTCCCCCTCCACACTCAGAATCTCGGCATCTCAACATCTCCACTCGGCATCTAGGGATTGGGGTTGCAGGAAGGACGCCGGTAGGAGTAGTAAGGTCGTCAGTATGTGATTCGAAGTCTAAATAGCTTCACGGAATTGGAGATGATGAAGAGGTTCATTAGCCGCTACCTTCAATCGGAAATTGGCCTATGTATGTTTTTTCTATAGCCGTCTAGATTTTTTTTAAGTTATTTTTTTAATCACAATTCAGTCCTTTATCGATTGGTTATTCAATCTGTTACTCATCAATTGTTTTCTTATTTGGCCACATTTACATGCCGCTTCATTCGCAACTGTGCTTTTCGATCGGGCTAGACATGTTGATTGTGGGTATGTTAGTCATTTATTGTCGGCGAGCAGGCCGCCCGACCACCCCGTTTACACTGCCCAATTACTGAAAAGATAGAAAACTTTTATGTTTTTGGGTTTAGATGGAGGGGCATTTTTGGAAGTCAAAGCCATATTAATCAATCCCTTAAAAATGGGGTTTAGTCAATCTAGGAAGTTGGATTTAGGATGGAGGGAGTATTTAAGATCATATGATAACTTTTATTTGTCATAGTTCAACTCCTCTACCAAGATATTATTTTAAAATATATTAAGTGGATTGTCATCTCGAAATGGCATATCACTAAACTCTTATAAGGATCATTTATTTGAATTCAGTAACTTTTCAATCTAAATCAAACATAAAGTTTTTAGATCTTCTTGAACAATAATAAGTTCTACAAAAATGGTTAAAATGGGACTAAATCATTAGACTTTAACCCATATCTCAAGTCTAAAGTTTTGTGTGTGTGTGTGTGTGTGTGTATCATACGGAGTACATTTCATATTGATCTTTATATAAATAAAAAATTACCTTTTTATAGAAAGACCTTGTTTTTGCAATATCACCAATCAAGTAAAGTCTCATATCAACCAAGAGCTCTCATAATTTTTCTCAAACAACTTAAGAACGACTCATCATATTTGTCACTAATAATGTGTCTAATAACTTTCTTAGCTAACTCTGAGATCCTAGCTCAGTTGTTTATTTTATATTTTCAATAAATTCTTTATCATTGGCTAATAACTCCAATGTTTCACATGCATTGTCGAATGAGTTTTGATCGTACAACATTATTGGTAACTGTCTTCAAGCTCTGATAGCTTGTACATCCTCGTTAGACCGCTAATAGTATTTTCAAGTAGTACAATTTTTTTGTTCCTACTGACACACATTGTAGGCGGCCTATCAATGGTCTTTGTTGCCTCAAAAACAATGAAAAAAATTATAGCCACCAATGTTTTGTTTAATTTAGCTATTTTCAAAATTTTTAAATATGTTTGTGTTAATTAGGATACTATATACAAAAGAAGCATGCGTAAAAAAACTAAAGCAACGGTTTTAGAGTTTAATTACATATGATTCTTACGAACCCTCCAAAAGATATTTTTGATTGTGGTAGATGTATGTTGAATTGTAAAAATAAAACAATAATCGTAAAATTATGCACCTTTTTATGTGCTTTTTTGTTGAAGTGTTTCATTTATCCTTTCTCTTGAATTTCTAGTTGATCTCGTATATATCTTATTAAGTTAATTTTCCATGTTTTCAATTGTTATAGAAAAATTTGATGCCCCTACGAACTATACTTAAAAAAAAATAAAGTTTGAATACTTATTGTAATTTTTAATCAGAATATTAATCTATCCTCTCTGAACACGTGTGTATTTAAGCTCGAGTGATTGTGATAGATGAAATTACACATTTCTTGAATTATATCTGAACATTTTGTAATTGAATTTTAAGGATATCAATTATTTTTATTAATATGACTCTAAAATTGAGTGATTTAAGTAACAAATCTAAAAAGAGAGCTAGTAATATTGTAAATTACTATATTTAATGTTTTATTAAATTTATAAGATTTAAAATTGAAAAAAGGTAAGTACTATTGCAAATCACTATATTTAATGTTTTATTAAAATTATAACGTTTGGCTTTTACAAATATTCCCAATATGTTCGAATATTCCTTGAAAAAGATCTATAATTTTTGCTCTTTAACCAAAATTATATGTTTATATTTTTTGTTTCTTTTTTTTGTTTTCATTTTTTGTTTCAATATTTTAATTAAATTCAAGGGTAATATTATTTTAGTTTCAAATTTTATGAATAATACTCCCTCCGTCCCGTTTCAAATCGCTCGTTTTGACTTTTGGGCATATTTAAGGAAAATTAAAAATAGAGTTGATTTTTCGAGATTGTCAATACTTTTTAAAAGGGATGATGATGAATGATAATATAATGTGGAAAAGATTGACTTATTTTAGAAGTAGTTTAAGTATTTTATTTTTAAAAGTTTACAAAAATAACTAACAGACAACTTTTTTTGGGACGGAGAGAAAAACAAATAGGCAATTTAAAATGGGACAGAAGTAGTATTTACATTGGTTTGTATATTTTAAAATTGTTTTACATTATTATTTTAAGTTAATTATTTATAGGAAAAACCTATACAAAAGTATGTAAACGCTTAATATATCCATGCTAAAAGTTAATACATTAAAAGGGGGGAAATTACAAATTTAAGAATAGTGCTTCTTTATTTTATAACACATGCCTTGTTGTTATCACTTTTCCATCACACTTCAATGTATACTCTTACATTACCCTATCATTATACTAATATTTTGATATTAAAAGACTTAGGTCTCATATTGTTGTATTTTAATAATTTTTTACCTCTATCTAGGGATATTTCTTAGAATATAATTCTTAATCCAAAAATAACAAGTCTTCTTTACCCCCATACGTGTATATGGTACACTGTACACAGATTAGAATGTCTGAATAACTTGAATAACATTATTGATTATTTGTCTCGGTTCACTTTGCTGTCAAATCTTGAATTATGCATTGCATGATTTTAAAAATAAAATTAAATAAACATTGAAATTTCAATGATTGTTCTCTAATTCATTAATTCAAACGAAGAATAATACAAAATATTAGCAATCTTATGATTCTGAATGGAAATTTATAAATATGTACATTTGGCAAACTCTCATGCAATTCTTTTTTCCCGTTTGAATAAGAAATTATTCAAGCCTATGAAAATATTTTTTTAAATTTATTTAATTTAAACAGTTGATCATTTAAAAATTAATCTAGACACTTCTTGTTTTATAGAATACTCTTAACTTAGAGCTAGTTTTCATTTTATTTTTTATATTCAAATAAATAAAATAATATAATTCATTTAATCATATTGCAATCAGAAATAGAATTTTATTTTAATCAATTACGTTATATAATTTACTTAAATCAATTATCATATCCTAAAAGCGAATAAAAATATTATATTTTTTACATTTAAATGACAAAGCATCTAAAAACCTATAAAGTATAAATTTTCTCGTAATTCACTAAAATTATAAAATTAAAATAATTACTTACAATGTATAGTAATCTTTTTTATACTTGAACATTATTGTAAAAATATGTTGGAAAGAAACCTATTCTCAGGACGTAATCTGGAAAGGAAACGTAATTTGAAAAACCGGACTTTGCTCGACCATACATAAATATCCAAAAAAATACGAAACATACATAATTTGCAGACTTTCCTTCGCAGAAATGGAAGACAGATCCTTTAGTTGACCTGCATCGGCGATAGATCCGGGATGAAGATGAAAGTTTCTATTTTAGCTCTTGGTAAATCCTTGAACAAATCTAAGAAATCGCAAATTTCACGCGATGGAGGAGGACAAGCGAGAGAAATTTCTCTCTTGCACTTGAATGAGACGATGACGATGGGGGGACGCTAAAAACACACCAAATTAGGACACGTGGAGGGCTAATGTGGCATTAAATTAAACCATATTTAAGTGACACATGTCATCATTCTACTTACTCAACTCTCAAATTTTATATTAAAGGATTAAACACACAATGAATGAATTGCACTCTATACTAATATAGAATTATGGTAACTTTTTTTAATTTGCGCGTTCACATTACTTATTTAATATAATAAAATAATCTTATCATATCATATTTTTTAGATTTTTTGAAGTAATTTTTTTCAATCATTCTTTAAGTAAATAGATTTAGAAAAAAATTAAAACTTACCTTGCTTTGTGCAAAATAAATCTTTTTATGACGAAGGGAGTAAGCACAAAAAAATATAATTAATTGGTTTATAAATTAAAAAATAATTTATAAATAATTTTGATCAATTTAATCGGTCCTATAAAAAATGGAAGAAAGACGAGAATAGAGAAAGAACTAAATAAGATTTTTATGTTTTTATCTATAAAATATGAGTTATAATATGAATAAAGTCCATATTTAATGTCAAAAAGAATGATGTGAAATACAAGTATACAGTACCACATTATTAGTGTTCAAAATTTTAATTTAAAGAAAAAATATGCATATTTTGGAACAAGGATTATGTTTTGTAGGGAATAAGGAGTACCACATATACTCCAGAAAATTACTCGCGGGACGCGAGTTTTGTGGAAATAACTTTCAGGTCCTTCTATTTTCAAAAAGACAACCAAAGTCCTTATATTTTGTTGTAATGACTGAGAGGGGACATTTCATCCAATACATCATCCGTAAGTGTTAATAAATGAATTTTTTTCCTTGTGTTATTTCATCCAATACATATCCTCCGTAACTTTTTGCATATACTCGGTAGTATTATTTTTTGGTGATTTCTTTTACTTGATACGGAGTAAATTGTAACAGGCCACTACAACGGGAAAGGTGGAAACCGAACTTCACAAGGTTTTAGCCGAACAAAACGAAGAGCGGCAAGTGCTAGTCGCCATGGCGGCTATCGGAGAAGCTCTCTCATCTGAGTTGCAGAATCTCCAACACAAAATCAAGGTTTTCCATTTCCTTTCATCTATACACATAAAAAACAGCTTTATTGATTTTTTTCCCTTCCGAAATCCGTATTTGGTGGTTTGGGGCTGCAATTTTGCTTGTTTAAATCTCAGGAACTGGAGTCTCAGAATGCCAAATTATCTGCTATGCTTTCACATTGTACCTGCCAGCAGGTTATTGCTCGTCTGGATTTATTGGTTTAGCTTCCCAATTTGTTGTCCTTTTTTCATTTTTCTGTATCACTTTTCATATTTAAAAAGAAAGTTCTAATGATTTGTCTATCTAAATTGGACAACTAACATGTAAGAATTTCACAGTTTGACTTTACCGAGTTTAAGAAAAGTAATGAAAAGTGTAAGGTGTGTAATTCGCATTTGTTTAGAAGAGAGAAATGTTCTTTAGTTAAGGGCGGAGGGAGTAGTGGGTTGCTCATATTTTTCCATACGTTACTATGCATTTTTGTGTTATGTGTAGTTTGATGTGAAACAGAATATATTGCTAACTTGCTAAAGCTACATCTGCAAAGGAAAATGGTCCGTCCAGCACTTTTGAGAGTCGCGGTTTGGCTAAAGAATTAGAAAGCATAAATTTAGACTGCAAGAAGATCACCACGAGGAAAACCAAGGATACTGGTTCAGGTTTCTGTATTTAAGGTCAATGCATCATAGAGTAGGGTTCTAATAAATTGTTAGTAAAGTGTCCCACACTCGAGTGATTTTATGTATTCCCTCTATCCTAAACATTTCCTCCCAATTTCCATTTTAGATTGTCCTAAAATTCACTTCTTATTTCCTATTGAGCAAAGCTTGTGGTCCATACTCTTTGTCACTTTTAAATCAGCTACATCCATGCAATTTCACTTAATAAACATGCCATATCAACTAGAGAAGAACACTTTTGGACGAAGGAAGTACTAAAAAATGATTTTTTAGTAATACGATGATATGGGAATTCTGGCAAATTTGATATTTTGACCAAATATTATACTCCATACTAATCCATAAATGAATATGAAACAACAAATGACAATGATTTGAACTAAGATATTTATTTTCTATCTGTAGGTCTTTGCTCAACGACTATGTCAGAGCTTCACAAGGGATATGTTGCTTTAAAAATAATGTATTTTGGCCAAAGGTACATGTCACCAGTTTTTGCAGCCTAGCTATTTACCATGGAGTATAATGAGTGTAGCTAGAGCCTCCAAAAGTCAAATTTTGTGTGGCTGGAAAGATAAATAAACATTCAAATGTAATGTTTATCCCTAGCTTCTTTTGTGCGGCCGGAAAAATCAAAGTAATGTACGTTTGAATGTATAAAACAATGCATTCCAATGTGATGTTTATTCCCAACGTCCTTTGTAAAACTGCCTGATACATTCGAATGTTTGGGGTTTGATCCCGAACATTCGAATGTTTCACGATAAGTTGCAACAGTTCACACAACCTTCTGAAATAACTATTTGATTTTAACCGCCACAAACATTCAAATGTTTGAGTACTACCATTCGAATGTTACCTGAAAAGTCGTGTTGTTTATCAACCAACATGTCCATTCAAAAATTTTCCTATAAATACAAGGCGCAAGGTATGTTTCGAGACACCAAAACTTCCATACTCGTTCTAGATTACTTACGTCTTATCCAATTGAAGTATTTTGGTATCCGAAATAACATTAATCTAAAAGCGCTTATACCGTTCTTACTGAGCATATCCAAGAATCTGTACCATGGTGCATGCTTTTTTGCCGATGACATCATCCTTATGAGCTTGTCACGAGAGGATTTGGATGAGAAGTTGGATTCGTGGAAACAGGCTTAAGAGTTGCATGACTTGCGTATAAGTCGCACTAAAACATAGTATATGGAGTGCAAGTTTGGCAACATCGAGGTGAAAGTTGGAGAAAATATTATACCACAAGTAAGGAGATTTAAATATCTTGGGTGTATCATTCAAGACAATGGAGAAATAGAGGATAATGTTAACCACAGGATTCAAGCCGATTGGTCAAAATGGCGGAGTGCTTCGGGCTTTATATGTGACAAAAAAGTACCTTTAAAACTAAAGAGAAAATTTTACCGTACTGCTATTAGGCCAGCTATATTGTATGGGACAGAGTGTTGGCAGCAAAGAGTGAACATGAAAACAAGGAAATGAAGATTCTTCGGTGGGTGAGCGGTTATGTGCGTATGGATAGAATCATAGAATAAGGAATAAAGATATGAGAGCTAAAGTTGGAGTGACACCTATTGTAGGAAAAATGGTAGAAACTCGTCTTAGGTGGTTTGGACATGTGAAGAGAAGACCAATAGAGCATCTTGTGAGAAGGGTTGATCAAATTGTGAATAGGCATGTGGCTGGAGGAAGAGGTAGTCCTAAGAGGACTTGGCAAACATTGATGAAGAGAGACCCTCGCGTGAACAATCTCACAGCAGATATGATACACGATAGGGCGCAATGGCGTCGTTTGATCCATGTAGCCGACCCCACCTAGTGGGATAAGGCTTTGTTGTTGTTGTTGAAAGCATTTATACATGATTCACTATGTCTATCAAATTGTTCTTCACGTTCTTCGTATACTGATTCTCCTACGCTACTTCGTAGCGTTATTGTGCCTCCCAAAAATCCAACAGTTACGTAGAGTATACAATGATTCCTTGAAGATATTATATCTTGATAATGGTTTATTCACAAGTAAAAATTGCACTAAATAGTACTAAAACATAGATCATTTCCTAATGTAGTACGTGAACTTTTATATTCTCTAAATGGTACTTGACTAATGTCTAGTGGCGGGAACAATGCCCAGTGATGGTGGAGTGGTGGACATTTAGTTTGAACAATGTCAAATTGCGGTGTACATTTACTTGAATAGTGACTAGTGGATAATGACCAGTGGTACTACATTGGGAAACAAAAACATATGGTACTACATTGGGAAAGTCACTATGTTTTAGTACTATTTAGGTAAATTCCCCTTATTCACAATAGATATAAAGAACAAAATATCTAAAAATTCCTGAATAATGATAAAATAAAAATATGTGTAGTTAATCTTGAATGTCTAGGATAGCATTTCATGGATTAATCATAGATCTTCAAAGTTCAAACATAACTTTTTTTATTTAATTTTTGTAATAGGGAGAAGTTGAATGTATCTGGATGTAGTTCCAGTCTTTCAGATTATGTTGCGCTAAATGTTGTGCTTGTTTGTGCATTTGTTTTCTTCTTACGTTCATTGTAAACAATTTCTAATTTTCAAACATTTGATAATGTTTAAGCGTTATCTTTATTGTCTCAATGGAGGTTTTATGGATTTGCTTCAGAGGCACACATGGATCCGACTGTGGAGGTGTGTTTTCCTTTATATTATATATTCCCATGCACCTTTATTACACAGTTAGGCAATATTCTATCTATTGCTATTGCCTATGGATAAACTTAAACCCCAAACTTATCATGTGCACTTTTATTCTAAGTATGGCCTTCATTCTTAGGTGGAGTTTAAAGAAATCGAAAGCAACATGGATAGTAAAATGGTGTAATTTGTTGGATAAAATAATGTAAAGAGGTGTAAGGTACTAATGTGCTTAGCCCAACACATATCTTGTGCACATAAAATTAAATTTTTTAATAGTCTTGCAGGCGTATTTTATACAGATATACTTGTAAACCTCTTCTACGTTCATAAAACTAATCAAAATACACAATTGCCTATGGGTTTTTATGTTCTATAATTGTAAAGAATGGTGAAATCGTTTCTATCATATTGCATTAAATATACATATAGTTTAAGAAAGAGAGAATTATATAGTCAATGCAAACTTGCAACACTTTGACCATTGATATCTCTATTTATCTATTGTCTTTATATATATATATATATTAAATATAACACTTCAAAACTATTTTTTAAAATGAATCAATTGATATTAAATTTATATGATAATTCAATGTATTTTTTCACAATTCGTGGTCAAAGTTTAAAAAGTTTGACCAGGAAAGTCAAACTGGGAAGATTTTTTTGGACTGAGGGAGTATTTCATAAGCACATCCTAATTCCCTACGCATTCACACAATTTTAGACTCTTGATTTTCCACTATCATGACTGAGATTCCATGATAGACCTACTGGACATAGCTTTGATTCGCAACCTCCCCCCACCCCCCAGGTTGTCTAATTAGTGGAATAGTTTTATTCATGGTATACTTATTATTTTCCCAAATAGAAGCAAACATCATGATGGTTGATCAGTATGATGAATGCCCAAGGTTGGTAAGGTTTGGTAAGTAAAAGAAGGATGCAAGCTGTAAATAGGCTGGATAACATATGCTACCAAATCATACCTTATACCTTGCTTCTGTTTAATCTCTTCAACAAGTTTTGTAATGAGCATAACAGCCCTATTGTTCCAATGGCGTTTTCAGGAAATTTCCAAACGAACAACCTCTGCTTGCTTATAAATGCGTTGAATTTTGATATAAATTTATTTGATACATTCATTTTAAATTATAGTTATGAAATATTATATATATATATATATATATATATATATATATATATGTAATTAGAGATACTAATGGTCAAAGTATTGCATTCCAAACAATGAAAAGTCAAATGAGAAGAAATATACTGGACAGAGGGAGTATTAAATATTTGCATCAAATTATGTTGTGCATTGGTCACACTCTAGTGTAAAATCTTCAAATAGCATGACTATTTCTGTGTGGTTTTTGGCTATTCTTCAGTCTGAAATATTTAAGGCCCTTGACAAGACAAGGCTTATATTTGGAAACAAAAGAGACTTGCAGTACTCGAGGTGTGGCAGAACAGACAAGGGAGTTTCTTCTGTTGGCCAAGTATGTTGATGTCATCAATTATTTTGTTGCGTGTTTCAATGTTGTGCATCTGCTACCCATCAACAATAACATACCCAGTAAAATCCTATGAGTGGGGTCTAGGGAGGGTGTGTGTGTAGACCTTACCACTATTTAGAAAGTAGAGAGGCTATTTCGTGGAGACCCTCAGCTCAAAACACAGGATCACCGTGACAAAGGAAAGTAGAAGGATAGGCAGATTTCGACTAGTTTATTTTTCTGAAATGAACGATACCCATAACACTTTTCCTTAGAAAATGGAGCATATTCAGCTGAGCTGAGCCAAACATAAAATATGTCAATGTTTTATAGCTTTTCATTGATTAACTTAATATTTTTTACTACACGGCTACAAGTTCAAGATAATGTCTACTTTTTGAGGTAGGTGTTGACTGTTGACTCAAACTGCCCATGTTAGTAACTCAGTATTGAAGTTACAGTGGTTACACATGACTTATGAGACATTATCCAGGTCTATAAACTAACACAGAGTAATATGCTATGTGAATAACAAGTCAAAGCAAGAAATGAGCATGTGCATGATGTAACAGGATGCTGTCCATTTTAATCAAATGCTGGTTCTTTTGTTTGCAACTTAATTGTGTAGTGTAGAGATACGAAAAAACTGAAGTAATCCTAAACTCCAACACCCGTCCACTTTCACGATCTTTACACAGCGATTGGGTCGATGAGACTGCAGAAATAAAACATGATCAACCAAAAAAAGTAGACACTGGAAGAGCATGACCACTTCCTTCCAGCAACATATATAACAGAATATGTTGATACGGTCAACTGTAAAGGCACACATTTAGAACCAGTAAATTAGAAACATGAATAGCTAAAGTGAACTGAAGCATTTAATCTATAAGCCATCCCTGAGTACCAGTTCTAAATCGACAAGCCACAGATGAAATCAGTATGCGAATTGTGTGAACAGTGACATAGGCTGCGAATGCCATAGCATTAGAAGAGGAAAATAAAATTATTTTGACTAGCTAAACAACAAAGGCACATTGCAAACATTTCCAGTAAAATAATTAGATGATGTACATTGTACAATGGGGGGAAAATCTACTTGTAGAGATGACATCAATAAGTTATTGGAGGAGTTTGAATGTGAAACCGAAGTAAGATCTCTGTTTTTAAAATGATTCACAAGTGTTAATGAGAGCACAATGTAGTTGCTTTGACGACGTGCTTTCCAATAAGAGTGGCAATTAGGTCAGAGGCAAAGTAGATATTGTTAACTTGATGATACAATCACTAGATAGTCAATAAAAGAAAATAATGGCAACAATGGCTTTTGGGTAAAATATGACGGGTGATTCTCAAGGTTGTGTTGAGAATGGAAGGCATTTGTAGATATTTCTTTAAAGAAAAAACACATGCTAGAGATCCTATGTTTATTTAAAAGCATACAAAAGGGTTATACCCGAGTTTAAACTATTGTATTTTGTTACTTGTACTATTTATAAATATTTATAAAAAGCATACGAAAGGGTTATACCAAGCTTTTCAATGTTATTTTTAGAATGACTAGGATGCCTGACGAGTGGAGGGAGAGTGTGTTGGTCCCACTTTTTAAGGGTATGGGGAATATTCAAAGTTGCAAGAATTATAGAGGCATCAAACTGCTTTGCCACACCATGAAGGTTTGGTAGCGTATCATTGAGTATAGACTGTATATGGAGGTGTGCATCTCCAAGAAACAGTTTGGGTTCATGTCGGGTAGATCGACCACAGAACCATTCACCTCATACGAAGGTTGACAGAAGAGTATAGGGCTAGGAAAAAGGACCTTCATTTGGTGTTTATTGACCTTGAGAAGGCGTATGACAGGGTGTGAAGACCTTGTGGAGGTGTCTTGAGTCGAAAGGTGTTTCGATCACATACATAAGGTAAAGATTGCTGGGGTAAGTTTGAGCCTTTCTATGTAGAGGTGGGTCACTGGGGTTACACTAGGGTCTGCTCTTAGCCCCTTCCTATTTGCTCTGGTAATGAAAGCCCTGTCACAGAGAATTCCAGAGGATGGACGTTGTGTCACAGAGAATTCAAGGGGAGGTCCCTCGGTGCATGTTGTTTGCTGACGATATTGTGTTGATCAATGACACCCGTGGGGGACTAAATGACAAGTTAGAACTTTGCCGCCTTTCCCCGGAATTCGAAGGTTTTAGACTGAGTAGGACTAAGACCGGATATATGGAATGTTGTTCTAGTGGCAAGGTGATGGAATCATAGGTAAAAGTTAGGATTGATTCCCACCCAGTGCCCAAGCTTGACAAGTTTTGGTATCTTGGTTCGGTCTTTTAGGCATGGATGGGGAGTTGGACGGGGATGTTGCGCATCGTGTTGGAGTGGCTTAGGCAAAGTGGAAGTTGGCTTCAGGAGTTTTGGGCGATAGGAAGATTTTGCTTAGAATTAAAGACAAGTTCTATTGGTCCGTAGTCAGGCCAGCTATGTTGTATGGTGCGGAGTGCTTGGCAATTAAGAAGACCCATGTTAGTTTGCTGCATGCTGCAGAGATGCGGATGCTGCGATGGATGAGTGGAAAGACAAGGATGTATTAGATTCGGAGCAAGGTTATTCAAGGACGGGTAGGAGTGGCAGCGATAGAGGATAAGCTGCGGGAAACCAGGTTGAGGTGGTTTGGGCATCAAGGCATGTGAGGCGGCGGAGTGTTGAAGCCCTAGTGCGGAGGTGTGAGAGGCTTACAATGGTGGGTAAGAGTAGGGGAAAGGGTAGATCTAGAAAGAATTGGAAAGAGGTGTTAGACAAGACCTAAGACTTTTGGCCCATATCGAGGATATGGAATTACATAGGAACATTTGGAGAGCTAGGATTATGGTAGTTGGATAGGCGTTTTGGAATGGGTGGTACTTTTCCCACTTGTTGCTGTGTGCTTCCTTGTTGTGTGCTTTATGCTTGTTGTGCTTTTCTATCGTTATTTTTAGTTCTCAGCTATTTTGTCCTCTATTCTTTCTCTGCTCTAACCTCTATGTGCCTTCTGTGAGCTTGTGTTTGTTAGTACATCAGTGACCTAACCCAATAAGATAATAAACCCAGGGCACAATTTGAACCATCCCATATTAACACCTCAATTGGCTCAATATAGAAAGGGGTGAAATTTATAGTCACTACTAAAGAATGGAAGATGACTCAATACACCAATTTTTTTGTCAATTGAAGAGAGAATATAATGTTATATGGGCAATACCCAAATGCGCAGTCGAAATGGGAAAACATGAAAGCAATGTCTGTTAGATACCTCAAGGAAAATTCTACTGCTTGTGGACTTTGAGGAGTAGCCAAGATGACCACAAGTCCAGCGGCAAATGCAGAAATTTCTGCCACAAAAAGGCTGGTGAATTGCCTCCACCAAATAGCTCATCCCAGGGCCCACTACTAGTGCAAACCAAAATATTGGGTAAAACAGTTGCCAAATTTAGCACCCCCATAACCCCATTGATAGTCCATGGCCAAACCTGTTGAATGATTTTTTTTTTGCTGAATTTGATTGTTTCTATTTTGAATTAACGAATACGTAATTGAATTTGTAATAATAGTAATTTCCTTCCAAGCTTTAGTTTAAAAGTTCTTCCAAACCAGGTGGGGATTGGTTTATCCTATTTTGTCATGGAATTAGGCTCGGGATGCTGCATGGAGCTGATCCAGTTTTAATTTTAGTCCAAGTGTCCAACTTGAGAATTCTAAATCATTTTATGCACTTTATTCTCATATATACACATGCAGTCATGCATTTAGTAGTGGACTAGTGGCTACATAGATACTTGTTAGGATGTAACACCTTATCCAGTATAAATTTATTCATTTCTACATGTTCCTTCCTTGTTTGTCAATGTATCTCTGTTGCATATGTCTTCCTCTTAGGTTACTGAAACCATGAAAAAATCTTGCAGGTGATTGCTCTATATTTACGGTCAAATCATAAGCAATTAAATGGGAATAGTGGATGGGGTGGAGAAAATGACAAATCATGTGGTGAGCTACATGATCCTTATCGTGAATTATCTTTTTAGACTTTGTATTTCATCATTTAGCATGATTTTTCTCTTGGATAGCAGTATTAGCCTATTATGTGAACCAACATAGAAGAATTAAATGACCAAGTCGGAGTGGCTTCAGCTTGCTTCCAAGTATTGCATGCTTGGATAGTTTGATAGTGGATATGACTTTGATGAATAAATTTGTACAATTGTATGCGTGCATTGAAATGCGATTAATTGTGCACTTCATAATGATTGTTCACTATGTTTAGAATATCAGAATAAATAGCAAGGCCCAAGTGTTCAAAAAGCTTCAAGTCCTAAATGAGTTTTTGCCATCTCAGCTTTGGTTAAATATTCATATCCCACACATTTATGATTCTTTAGGACATGTTTTCGTAAACTGCTATTAAGTAGTGCTTATTAGGCTTGCATGAGTTAAACTAAAGCATAATATGTACTCCCTCCATTAAAAACACCGGCTAAGTAATACCTGTGGAGGTTACAATTTCACAATTACTAAATAACACTTCAAGTGGTAAATATGGGTAATAGGCATGCTTTTATCCATCCACTTCGTTTCACCCACATGGACACATCACACATTAATACTCTAAAATGTTTCCTTCATCTTATAAAACACTGATGGTTTCCATGCAGTAGGAGAAATAGACTATGTGAGAGTATTGAATAAAGTGCTTCCCATGGACATTCGAGTTTTGGGTTGGTCTCCTGTTCCCATGGACTTCAGTGCAAGGTTTTTATTCTTTATTCAAATTCCTCTTAAATTATTACTTTGAGATAACAATGCTTGCGATAAGCCGGTAATAAATAAATGAATAAAATCGTCATGTAGTACCTGTGACTTGAGTAAATGTCCTGCCTTGTTAAGATAAGATATCTCAAGAGACACATGAACTTGAACTCAGATATTCATGGTTACCGTACTAGTATAGGCCGTAGGGCTACCAGGACTAGGTTACAACATTCATTTTCACTGCTTTGTGGTTTATAAAGATATGCATCGCACCTTCAATAATTTGCAGGTTCTCTGGTTTGAGTAGAGTATACAAGTATTTCTTTTGGAGGGGAAAGCTCGATATAATGGTCAGTACATGTGACTTGAGTCCCTTGACTTCCGCTGAGTCCTTGTGTTTAGAATATTTAATTATTTATTATGTTGAATATGCTTAACCAGGCAATGGAGACTGCTTCTCAGAAATTTATTGGGGAACATGATTTTAGAAACTTTTGTAAAATGGATGCAGCTAACGTGCACAATTACAAGCGGCATATCATATCCTTTCAAATGTTCCCCTGCAATGAAAGGTTAAAATTAGGTTCTTTTTATATTTTCCATTATTTTTCCTACTTTTCATTGCAATATGATATCATGTAGAAGTTGCACAACTGAAATGCTTCCTCTTACTAAAACGGATGTTTACCAGTATTTATGAACAAATGATGTTCTTTCTTTTCAACAGATTCTGTTTCCTTTCCAAATGTTCCTAACCATGTGATGGCATGCTTCGGCTTTTTCTAGCAACTGATCAAATATAATATCCCAACACAAAATCTATCATTCTAATTATATCCAGTACCAAACTGTATCTACAAAATATGTTTTGCCAACCTTCGCAAATATCTTTGCAGTTCTGGAAGTGATCAATTGTGGGTGATGAAAATCCAAGGTAGCGCTTTCCTCTGGCACCAGATCAGGTGCATGGTTGCTGTACTTTTCATGATTGGCCAGGGCGTTGAGTCCCCTAATGTATGCAATCCATTCTCTAAATCCAGTTCCCTAGCGGTGATATAGTGCTTGGAATTTAAGGAAGGTCTTGCTCTTTGTTTGGTCGATAATTATACGCATAACCACTATAAAGATATTATATGTGTTTTAATGTGCTACTCAGTCAGGAGTTTATAACCTTTTAATTTATTTCTAATCCTTATAAAGAAGACAATGCATGTCTGCATGCCAAAACTTATTACCCATTTCCCCTTGCTACTTAGGCCCCGTTCTCTTCAGCTTATTTTTTCTACTTGTTACTTATTTTTATTGGAATAAGAGATCAGCGGAAACTTTAAAGTACACTAGAATCAATTCAATCACACCATCAGATCAGCCTTAAAAAATTTAGATAAAAACCAATTAGATCAGACGAAGAGAACACAACCTTAGTGATGTATTATGTTTTTCCCTCCAAAATAAACCTTTGTACATACATATTCTAGTGTAACCGAGTTCCGGCATTTGAGTCTCAAAGTTTTTGGGGGTTCTTAAATGGCCTATACTGCAGATTGAGTTTAGATTTTTGACTCATGTTCCATAAGCCACTCTTGGGGTCTCTGAAGTTGTCTAGGCAAGAATAGAATAGCATTGAAACTCATTCTGGGTGCAAACTAGTATTTTTTTTTGTGTGTGACTTCCACATAACTTTTTAGACAAGCATTCCTTTCATTCCATATAGCCATGCTCCCTCATAAGATTCTTCAGTTTCGTGTGAGTCATTCATTTTATTTGCCTATTTGGTAGTCAAATGCCTTGGGCATGCTGGTTTGGTTCCAACATTGCAAAACATGTGTTGGAGGACCACTCATTTACCTTGCCTCTATCACTTTTTTTGTAGGTGGGGTTCCTTTTTGTGACTTCTCGTAAATTACTGTCACCTATATGTATGGATCGTACTGGGATAATTTCTAAGATTGAAGGCAGAGTTTTGAGTTTAGATGTTCATTTTGCAGGTGATAGATTTATTATTGGATACTGAAATGACGCCAAGGAAACCTCAATACATAATGGCCCCCGAGATTCCACTGGTTCTTCAGTGCTGTGAATTTGAAGGTGTCAGATTTATTTGTTCAACAGGTACTCAAGATCCATTCAACATTCATATATTTTTCAATTATTGGCCCTTTGCATTCAAATTTCTTTCATTCCCTTAGATATTCACTGATAGTTCCTTCTATGGAAAATAAGTTTAAATATGGCCGTCAAGTATAATCTAGAAGTATGACATCATTCTTATGGTGTCACTATTGTGATGTCATTCGGTAGACATATGAGTCTACCTAATGACATGGTACAGAGCCAATACATTTCTCAACATAAACAGACAGAACAGTGCCATGTGAAAAGGTACACCTTGCAGATTGTTGCTTTGTCCTAGCAAAAAAACATTGCTCGACAGTCTAGTAGTCTACACATCTTTAGGCGCTATGTCAAAACAGAGGACCAACTTGCATAGCAGGTTGATCACATTAGTTCTGATATTAATGTATTAAGGCATTTGATTCTTTTCGATCTGATGTGACCTGAATCTTTCTGGTTTGATCTGATTTTATCTTTTCACATCTGAATCTATCTTTCTGATCTGATCTAATTTCAATAAGAATAAGTAATATGAATAAGTTGAAGAGAACACACCCTAAGGCCTTAAGAGGTCTTTGAGTAAAATACTCTTCGTCCTGATATATTTAACCAACTTCTTTTTAGCAATTATGGGGGATGGAGGTTAGGGAAATAGTTATAAAAATGCTAGTATTAAATTTAGTTGATTGAGAAATGTTGCAGGTGCACAAGATGTCGAGCTAGTACAAAATTAGTAAGACTAGGTCGAAACCACTGGAAGTAATTTACTATATTATGTGAATCTGAATGTTCTTTTTGGTATTTTGGAGCGATGAATTGCACACAAAAATGCAGAGACGATAACACAAACAAACTACTGAGGTGTCGGGACTCGGGATTAGAAAATGAACTCTAAGTGCTAGGTTTGGCGTTTTTATGCTCTTGTTGAAGTTTGCGAAAGTTTGCATGTGGATTGATCTTAGGTGGAAGGTGGCATTAAGCCTTGAAAGCAGTTTGTGAAATGCAGAACCCTTTAGGTTGGTATCAAATAAGAGCATAAGAAGCAGTTGTCAACTTTGTTGGATCACCTATGTTGGGTTTTCTGATTGTTTCATCAGTAGTTAGACTCTTCAATCACATGACCCCACTGTTTTAGTGATTTCTATGTGTTTATGAACCTGGTTGTCATAGATGCCAAGCAAACTTTGCGTGAACATTTCGAGAGGGAATACCTAAGCTACAAAATGCAAGCAGCAATTTTTCAGGAGGCTCTGCTAAGTGTTTCATCCATCGAAAATGGTAAAGTATGCCATATTTACACCTCTAACAATGATTCTTCTTGAATGTAGTCCAATTGACACTAGTAATGGGAATTTAACATGTCAGATAATAGTGTGGTGAAAACAAGAACAAAAAAGAAAGGAACTTCCCATATTCCCTTGTTGTCACGACCTACTGAGCGTGAGTTCTGTTAACTTTCAAACTGTCTTTTTCTGCTACTCTGATGTCACAAATGTACAACAAAGTGGGTTCTATGTTTTTTTTTTGCAAATTTTTTTTTGCAGCATCTTATGAAGAGCGCCGTGCAAGATTGGATGCAAGGATTCGAACGCGAGAGTAGAACTCATTTCATTTTGCCCTTTTTTAAAAAAGTGACAGAAACTCATAGATCTGCTGCAAACAAGAATAAATAGCAGTCTGAGCGTACTTAATTTAAAGATGGCCAATTTAACAAGTGACGGGGATAAGATAATTGCAACGATTGGTTTTCAGCTAGGACGAGGTTCTCGATTCCTTCTTTCTTTGTACACATTGCTTGTGGCAACTTTGTTGTATTATAATAGAGAATCAACTGTTCTAAGAATCTCAGTGGTTGTTTTTTGGTTAGCAGAACATGCGATGCGACAATTGCAGAATGCTGAAGAGATTGTTATATCATGCTCAATTGTTTTATGCTACTGTTTATCGAACAACACTTGCAAATTTCTGAATCATTTGACAAATCGAGTGATTTGGCTTCTGTCTAGAATTTTTGTGCTCGTGTTCTTTGCTTTTCTAGTTTAACATTTTGGAAAAATCGACATTTTATTTGAGTGGTTTGAGTCCCCTCCTATTGACCTTACTTTGATCCTCGCCCTATCATACATGTCCCGAGCTTGAGTGTAAGCTATCGACAATCTTATGTACTCTAGGCAACATCTGAATTTGAGAAGAATGCTAGATAATATTTTCCAGGATAAAAAAAATATGGGGATCTTTTTTTAAACAGAATGAGCAGACAAAAAATCCTAAATTATGACAAAGATTAAACAAAACGAGCACTATATGGATCAATAATGTGAATGCCATCCATAAGAGAGGTTGAATATCATGACACTTGTTCTTACCAAGTCATTGGGTGTGACTGTCACTTTTTTAAAAAATGCATATAATAAATTAGCGGGTAAAATAACCAAAGCAATAGAGTATGAACATTTTTCAATAATTTTAAAACCCTACAACTTTTCATTAGAGATGTTTTGTGTTTTTACATGTGTTTCTAGATACAAAATCATGGATAACAACATGAAGAAACGCATGTCATTGAAAGGGCAAGTAGTGTGCACTTGTTCTTGATGTGTGTTTAAGAAAAACAAAAAATGTAGCCAACAGTGGAATCCCAAGTGTGAGGTAAGGGGTCTTGTGTAGGGCACCCCCAGATTGAGAGTACCCAATATAGTTTATGAGTTGCCTTCCCCCATCAACATTCTCAGCAGTCAAAATCTCCACAGGGAATGTACAAGTACCAACTGAGGGGTCATATGGGGTCAATGCCCCCAACCCTGCAAACCCACAAGCCCCACTACTCAGCTCCTGGTTGTTGGACTGGTAGTACATGTTGAAGGCATAAGAGGCATTCCATGTGTAGTTCAGGTTGCCGCATGAGGACCCAAAGTAGAGCGACGTGCAATCCGATTTGTTGCAGGCGAATCTCACCTGTTCGTCTACCTTTGTCAAGTTGCTGGTGTCCCCATTGAAAATGCACCACCGCGAAGGCATTTTCACTATCCCTTTGGCTGTCCATGGGTACATGTCCCTCCCCTGTCCCGAGAAGTCAATCTTGAACTTGGGTGTGCCATCATAGTTGTATATTCCCCTGCGGCGCTGGTACGGCCCGACTTGCAGGGGGATCTTGTTCTCGTCGGTCAGTGTGGCCAGAAAGACGTCTATGTTGGTGTTTGGTCGTCTGGGAGTCCCCTTTTTCTGCGCGATGTGCATTAGGAAGCTACGGTAGAACCTCTCGGCGTTCGTGATGTTTGCGTCCTTGGCCCCGTCCGTGGGCCACCCTACCTGCCCGATCACGATTTCCATGTCCGGGTACCCGGCCTTTTCAATGGCAACCACAAGTGCATCAAACATGAACTCAAAGGCATTGGTGTAGGTGTACTTGCCATCAACAATGGTGAAGTTGGATTTGTTGTCCATGAATGCAAACTCAATGGGCCAGTTGTTGAGTTGGGCGGAGAAGATGGGGTAGAGGTCGTACATGAAGAAGGAATTGGTGCTGTTGTACAAGCTGAGGTATTCCAACATCTTGTCCTTGTACTCGTCCTGGAAATCGGCCTCCGATGGCTTCCTCCCAACCTTCAATATGTTTGAGAAATGGGTAGTGGTTGTTCTTATGTGAGACAGGTTTGCCTTCTGCAGACAATCCACTGTCTCTCTGAACACATTGGTTGCATTCCAAATGGGATCTTGTCCTTTCACCGGATAGAATGGTTCGTCTAGAACGATGATCGTCCTGTAAACAAAAAAGGTAACACAATATAATCAGAAAAAAAACGTACGGAGTACTCCGTATGAATGATGAGGATTACAGTAACTTTTTACTTGCGTAATGTATTCTGAGAATTTCTTACATATGAGCATTAGGTTAATAAGAGGTTTCAAGTGCAAATGTATTACTGAGTACTCAACCTCAACCAAAAATGTATACAAACTGTTAGAGTCTATCCCAGATCGAAAAATTGAAACGAATATAACAGACTTAGTGCCTAGCTAACACGAACATGAAATGAAACAACCTGGACCTGAAATGAGAACACAAACAAGAAAGTACCCAACACAAAACTAAGAAATCTATACCCAAAATGTGGGTAGGATTTTGCTATTAACTTATCTTTTAATGCCAAAATTGCATTTAAACCAGCTCGGTACATGTTTGAGACAAAAATTTTCCAACTCAAACAAAACGGGACATTATAAAGACAAAATCTAGATGTATCAATATGGGACACACGAACCTAGATTCTTGTCCACCAAACAAATAGGGATGGGGGGAGGGGAGCCCTCGACTCCCATCCCCTCTTCCCAACCAAACACCCTAGACGGATTAAAAGTTTTGAGAGAAAAAAAGAGGAAGAAATGAAAAATGGAGCGGGACATGCCTGATGTTGACTCCCCTTTTGACGGGCACCGCAACGAGTTCGTTAATCCAGTCGCGAACAGACTGCAGATTGCTCCATTTCATCCTCTTCACGAAATCATTGGTCAAGGTGACGGTGACGCCCAAGGAGCTGTCTTCCAGCGCCGTCAGCACGTTCGTCGACGGCGAGTACAGCCGGATCTCCGAGATCCCGTTTTGCAGAAGCAGATCCACCACCATCGAAGGAACCATGCTCTGAGTCGCGAATCGGCCCCAATAGATCCCGATAAACCCGTGCGCCGGACCGCCGGCGGCCAGAACAGACAGAATCGCGAGCCAAGTCGCGAGTTTCCGCTCCATAATCGATCGCCGGCGTCGAAATTCAGACGACGAATCTGGAGGCCCGCCCTTGCTCGATGCTTTCATTCAATCATTCGCACATTGCAAATGCATATGATGTATGCATTTGCAATTGAGGCCTCGCGAATCGAATTGATTTGCCCAGAATAGGATATTCTCAAAGAAGAATCGAAGAAGAAATATGAATCCATCTTTAGTAAGATTATGATTGAATCCGATTGATGAACAAGAGAAAAAGGCGGGAATGGGAATTTAGCTACGGGAAATTAAAGCAAGGATTCACCGTACATTATGATCGGATTTTAGGCATATTTTAACAATGTACTAGCTCAATTTAATTTTTTTCATAATCAAATAAATTTTCCAATGAACTATAAAGGTATAATTTGTTGTGATTAATAAATTTAAGAGTAATTTACAAAAAAAGAGTAAAAGAGGTTGGTTTTCCCTAAATAGGAGTGGTCCTATGTGCACCACACGTTTGGAGTTGAGAATTACTTAAATAACCTCCTCATCCCATCTTTTCCCTTCCAATCTCACGCGCATGATCTCATGCTTTTCCTTCCATTTTTTATTTTTAATTTTCTTTACATTTTTAGAGATAATATCAAAAATTTAATTCTCCTATTTTTTAGGCTGCAGTTTCTACATATTCTACCCTATTAACTACCACTCCTCCACTCCATTGTCAATCCTCAACTAGTTCTTCCTCCCTATCCATTTTTTCGACACTATGCATGTTTTCTTCATTATTGGCATCCATATGTAATCAATAATGTCCTTATACTTGGATTAAAAAATAATGTCCTTATACCCATAAGTGAAATTTGGACTGAATATGACTAAAATATAAATCATTTTCTAATGTAAGACTTAATAATGACTAGTGAGAAGAATAATGTCCAAATGATGTTAGACATTTAGTTGAATAATGACTATATAGAGAAAGTCATTATGTTTTTGTTCTATTTAGGTAAATTACCCAAAACTCATTCATGAAGACCTACACGTAAAATCAACTTTTATTCATGAAAAAATTTATTCTATTAGTCATTATTCAACTAAATGTCCACCATCACTTAATTTTTCCAATGTAGGACTTACACTTTTTTATTCCCGAAATAGAACTTAATAATGACTAATGAGAAGAATAATGTCCAAGTAATGCTGGACATTTAGTTGAATAATGACTAATAGATAATGACCAATGGTCGTACATTGGGAAATAAAAACGGACATTGATACACATAAATTAAAAACATGACGACAATAAAATAAAGCCGGCATGGAATGATCAGTTACTGGTGACTGGTGAGAGGATGAAGGGGACGCGCGATTGGTTTGGATGATCATTACCTAAAAATAAGGAAAAAATAATTATTAATTGTTGACAATATATTGTATATATGAAAAAAATAATTCTATAAACGGATCAACACACAGATTTACTCCTAAAAACAGGAAAAAACTTAAGGGGTCCTATTTGGGGAAAACTCCTATCTTTTACTCTTATTTGAAACAAATTTTACTAAATTTAATACCACAAATGTCCAAACATGACATTAATGATATGAAAATAACATTCAAAAAAAAATTTTATATCACTAATGTCGTGTTTCAAAACTTGAATTTGGGGTTTTAAATTTAGATTTTTCTCAAACTTCATAATAATCTTTAAAAATTTAGATTTAGATGCGAGGTAATTAATTTTTCTAATTCATAACAAATCTCAATTACATATTTTGATAAATTTCCTTATCATTTGAAATTCAAACATTCAAATTTTAAAATTTAAATTTTAGAATTAAAATAAAGTGCTAGTTTCCAAACAAATCTAAATTAGTTTTGAAATTCTCACTCAGTCATGCAAGTTAGAGATATACGGAGTAGTTACTATTTCAGTTCAGAATAAATTTTGTTTACTACTCCGTGATTATGTTTTTTAATGATCGTTAAATAAAATAAAATAGTATTATGAAATCATGTTTTATCTAGTTTTGGCTTTTTTCAATCAATCGTTTTCACCTTTTGACTTATAATTAAATAAAATATATATTGTATATTAAATATATAAATAATGTTTTGAAAATATTTTATCTAACAAAACTATTTTTAATTTGTATCAATATCTAATTTCATTTTTATTTAATTTAGGGTCAAAGTTTACTAATTTTGATCAGAAAAAATCAAAAGCGGACTAATACCCCGGGACGGAGGGAGTACTTCTTATTTCCAAACGTAACTCTTGTTTAATGACGGAGGGAATACAATTTTGAACTTGTTTTTTTACGCTTACAATGAGACGCGCAGACGAACAATCTCGAAAAACAAATACGGAGTAGAATACTAGTAATACGAATTAATGTAAAATTGGATAGATACAATAAAGATTAAGGTGTGTATTCAACCTGTACCATGCAAAAAAAATTTGAATTCTCAAAGTGAATGAGTATTCAATTGAGATTTTAAAGAAATCATTTGAAATCTTAGAATATTCACGTCGAATTTTAAGAAGTCTATCAAAATCTAACGGTATTAAACAATTCATACATTTGTCTCAATTTTTAAAGAAAATATAATGATTTATGTATATTGTATTCTAGTTTGGGAGAAATATAATAGTGGGTTATCATAAAATAGTTTAGAGGTATCACTCGAGAAATAAATTCCAATACAAAAAAATTGTGGTGAGTTATAAAAATATTTTGTGCCATTTTGGGGAGAAAAATTATTGTGCAATTTTCCCTACTTTTGCATTGTTATTTTGTGTAAAATAATTGTAATGAATTATTGAAAAAAATCACAAATTTTGTGGTGCCATTTTGGTAAAATAATACGCATAAGATTATAAAGATTGTTGAAAACATACTTATTATGCAATACTATTTTTTTTTAGATAAAAGTACTTTAAATTTTACTCTGAACTGATTTAAGATTAACAGAAATAATATTTTATGTGATATCATGGATACTACAATAAACTATATTTCGTTTAATTTGACAATTTAAAGAAAAATTTACAGTGTATTTAATGACAGAAATATGCAAATGTATTGTTAATTTATCAAAAGGAAATATTTTACAAAAGATTGTGCAGTAAGAAATAAATTTATAATGATATGGACAAAGGGGAATTTACTTAAATAAAACTAAAACATAATGACTTTCACTAAATAGGATCACATGTGTTTTTTCCCAATGTAGCACTTTTAGTCACTATCCGTTAATCATTATCCAAGTAAATGTTCATCATCACTAGACATTATGGACATTATTAAGTGTTATTTAGGTAAAATGACTTAAGTTTTAGTACTATTTTAATGTAAATACTTCTTGAACAAATAGTTCAATAATATCCTATATATCCTATATATCCTATATATATATATATATATATATATATATATATATATATATATATATATATATATATATATATATATGGATTGACTCTAGTGAGATGACACCTTACGGTGAGATGATATGCTTTGGTCAGATGACACAAAACTCACTACTGGCCACTGCAAAGCTCACCAAAGACAACAACAAAGCTCACCAAACTGTTAGACAAAGCTCACCATATTTTTTCAACACTTTGATTTTTTTTTTGAAAAAATAAAATCAAAGGAAGGGGTGCTGACTAGATTTTGACCGTTGACCGCCGCCTGCCGCCGCCGGACTCCGGCTGTCGTCGCCGCCGCCGGACTCCGGCCACCACCGCCAGCCGTCACCGGTCGCCACCACCGGACTCGGGTCACCGCTGTTGCTCCGCCGCCGTTGACCGGTGGTTGACTGGTGTTGTTATTTTTTTATTTAATTTTTTAATTTTTAAAATTTAAAAAATTGGTGAGTTTTGGGGTTCAAAGTGGTGAGCTTTGCTTTATTTCCAAGTGAGCTTTGCATTGTCCATTAGTGTGCTTTGTAGTGTAGTGTGGCGAGGTTTGCGTCATCTGACCGAAGCATGTCATCTTACCGTAAGGTGTCATCTCACTGGATTCAATCCCACACACACACACACACACTGCCACATTTACATTCTCTACTGATGTATCATTATTTAATTAGTTCATTTTTTATTATAATGTTTTATTAATTAAAACCATTTTTATTAGTACTTCATTTAATAATGGCCATTAGTTTTGTATAAAAAATTTATTTTTAAATAAACATACCAATATATACTCCACCGATTTGAAACATATTTTTTTACATAATTAAATCATATCTATAAAATATTTTTTTAAGTTTATCGATGTTTTAAAAAATACTGTTTTACTCCCTCCGTACTTGAGTACGTATTTGTCCACTTTTGACTTTTTTTGGTCAAAATTGGTAAAATTTGACCTTAAATTAAATAAAAATGATATTAGATATTGATACAAAAAGATTTTTATTAGATTTATTATATAAAATATTTTCAAAATATTATTTTATTTAATTAAAATACGATATATATTTTATTTAATTATAAGTCAAAAGTTGAAAACAGTTGACTAAAAAAAGTCAAAACTGGACAAATACTCAAGGACGGAGGTAGTATATGATTTTAAAAACAATAAATGATTTCTCTTTTACTACTTTTGAAGAAAATACTTATAGAATCTTTAGTGAATGTACATCTATATTTAAATTATATTATTTGAAAAAAGATTTATTTATAGAATATTTAGAAAAATATTCATCTAACACATATATATTATGTCACTATTAGAAAATTAAAATAATTAAAATTATATTTATAGAATGTCAAAAATTTAGAATGTTAATAAGATAAGTTTTTACCAACTCTCATATGCTAATAAGATAAGTTTTTGGCAATGTTATTTATACAGAGTATCTTTTAAAGATATTCGTTAAGAAAAAGAATGTGTGTGTCTTAAGACACCTTGAGCTAATAAAAAATTAAGGACACAACTATTTTTGTCTTTAAAAAAATTGTGTGAAATGTGTTTCATATTGGAAGATGAATATCTTTGCTTAAAAATGTGTGTAAAATTGAAAATTCTTGACTAAATGCCATCTTGATGAGGTAAACAATTGTTACTATAAAGTGGATCTAAATATTAGGGAATGACATGAACAAATACTCTTGTTATGACATATTTAATGTCATCAGCTTGTTTGAATGATGTGAAATCTACCTGTTGATATTATGTGAATCAGTGCAACCTTGTTAAGGTTCGCAGTTGAAAATTTCAAATTATGAATCCTTGTTTAGCTATCTATCCAAAGAACCTAGAGTGACTACTACGATGATTACTATTTGTCTAGAGTCACAA